ACAACCTTGAAGAAACAGAAAAAACAGAAAAAAAATTTCTGTTATAAAACAGAAAAAAATTAAGTTCATATGGGTGTAAAAATCTTTCTTAATTAAGGAAAGGTTAGGATTTGTAAAATGAAGCAGAGCATTAGGACCACAACAGTTACTGCAAAATTAGGAGAGGAAAGGGAACTACCTGAAGGGATTATCTTTTTTCCTTTAAACACGGAGAACTTAATTGAGTCTTTGCTTGCTTGTGCAATTAAAATCACAACGAAGCTGGTGATGCATTGAAATCAGTGTACCCCATCTCTTCAATTAATTTGTAATGTCAGCGTACAGACTGAATTACACAGGTGCCTCTTCACTAATCCTCACAGGGAAATGTCCTGAGCTGCTGGAGTATCACCTTACTGTCTGCCACCTTCCAGTAGCACTCTGTGAGATCCAGCTGGTCTGGTCACTGGATGGAAGTCCTTGTTGTGGGCCTTACCAAGCAAAGAGAGGCAAAGACTGTCTCTCAGAAGTTATTGAATAAAGGTGCTAGCTCCTAAATCCTCTAGGAAAGCAAATTAACAGAAACAGCACTAGATTGGTTAAGAAATTATATTATTCTATTAATTTTATACAATTGGTGCTAATTAAAATGAACCAAAGCCATTTGGCCAAGTGTGATGTGTCTTCCAAAATAATATCAAAAATGTGCAGGTCTCCATTGCTTCTTGTGTAACAGGACTGCCTGGGCCCTGCTGCAGGGAAACTTGCAGATTTTGCAAAAAACCATGCAGGAAAATGATTTTTCTTTGACAAGCAGGAAAGATGAAGGAAACAACTGGATGCATTCTCATTTCTAAATGCGAGATTAATTCAAATTATTTGTGTTCCCAGTGCAATGCAAGACATCTGCCCAAGTGTGGTAGTTTGGCCTAGGCCTTCCTTGGTGACCAGTTTGTAACCAAGGAAGTGCCCAGATTTACCCGGTATTCCCTACGATTTTTACGTAAGCTGGCGTATAAGAAGAAAGGAGGAGAGGCTTTTGCTCTCTTTCCTTCCGGCGGCTTTGGAGGTGCAGGTTCCCTGCTGTTGAGTCTGCCAGGTTGGAGAGTGAGGCCTGGTAAGGCCTTGTCGACTTTGGGAGGCGGAGGCTGCCGGCAGTCACTCCAGCGTGACTCTCCGTCGTCCCAAGGAGAGTAGTAAGATATTCTTTGCTAATTCTTTTAGTTGATAGACCTTGGGCTACTGATCGGGATATATATATATATATAATTTTCGTTTTTGTTCTTCCCTTCCCTTTTCCCTTTTCCCTGTGAAATTGTATATATATTTCAACTGTACATAACTGTAATATAAGTGTAAATATATTTATATATATATTGCTTTGTCTCTCTCTCGTTTCTGGTTCTTTTGGGTTTTTTCCCCTCTTCTCCCTTGGTTTGGGGGAGGGGGGGGACTTCTTGTGGTAAGGTTTGGAGACTTGGCAGGGAGCCAGCTCCAAACCATATCACCAAGCTACAAAGTTAACTGAGTGGCCTGTAAGTTGACAAAACTATTACTCCTTGGAGAAACATATTCAAAAGGGAACATGTCAGCCCGCTTAGGCTTTCTGAAGGTAGTGCTTTTAAAACATCTGGCTTTACACTGCCCCTGTGTGCTAGTCAGGTCCAACTCAACCAGGTTCAAGTGTTATAACAGTCTGCTGAGCAATATTTGTTGTTCCTCAGCTGTAAGTTAAGTCCTTGCCCCGAACAGTCTGCCACCTTGATAGTTTCCTTGAGGGTGATGGCTGCCTGGCAGAAGCAATTAAAATCAAACTAGAGAATAAGAAACAAACACGCAATCCAGCGAAGGTCATGACAATGATGGTTGTTTTAACCACACCAACAACTGGAAAAGGAACTGTGTAAATTTTCAAGACAATTAAAAAGAAATTATTTAACATACTGAACATGATTAAAATGGTTAAAGGATTGCAGCACCTGTTAACAAAGCTGAGAGACTTGGAATTGAAGAAGAGAAGGCTCAGCAAGGAATCTTATCAGTGTGGGGAAAGACTAAAGAGAATGGAGCCAGACTCTCTTCAGTAGTGTTCAGTGGCAGGACAAGAGGCAGTGGGGCACACACTGAAACACACCACATTCTGTTTAATCATAAGAGAAAGCTTTTTTTACTGTGAGAATGGTTGAACACTGGTACAGCTTGTCCAGAGGTCATAGAGTCTCCATCCTTAGTGATCTTCAAAAGCTGACTGGATGCAATCCCAGGTAATATGCTCTAGCTGACCCTGGTGGGAATGAAACACTTGGACTAGATGATCTCCCAAAGCTCCTCCCAACCTTAACTGTTCTGTGGGATCTAAGGTCTTTTATCAAAAGGTGAATATTTTCTCAACAAAAATGAAATCAGTGTTTCAGTGACATGATGAAGTTAAATAGAACTTAATCTGCTCCAGTGTTCCTTAGAAGAAAAGACTGCAAAGAGCCCAGGTGCCCTTTTGAAGTTCTTTGGGCTTTCAGCAGCCGCTGGGTTTTGAGACCTTTGCTCTCCCTGTTTTCCTGGCATGTTCCAGCTCCCTTGGCTGCTCCTGCTGCACCTGTGTCCTCTCTGAAAGCAGCCGTGGGCTGTGATGTATTTAATGGGAGCCACATGGCTAAAGCAGCTTGGCACCAGTCTGCTGAGGTTTTTTTTCCCTTTGAATATGTGCATCCTAAAAGAGCTCAAACATGGAGAGGAAGTGACTTCTGCAGCTCTTCAAGGTCACGAGGTAAGAAATTCTGTGTTTGCTGGCTCTTTGGTAGTAAAACAAAGGCAGGGATTTGATTGTGATTTTACTCTTGTCCCATTGTACTGATTTGCTGGCTTCCAGCTCCACCCATTGCTTTCTTACTTCTCTGGGTTTAAAGATTTGATTTAGAGAATTGGTATGAAATGATGATACTGCCTGTTCCTACACCTCTGGTGACCCCATTGGTTGGTTTGGATGACTGGGAGTGCTCAAAGTTAAAGGGGTGCTCTGTTGGGTTTCTAGGGGGAAAGTGAGAGATGAAACCTCTTAGCGGGCCCTGCTTCCCCCAAGAAAGGTAACAAAATCTCCAGTATTACTGGTAAGGTTTGTGTGAGGATACATCTTCCAGGTCTGGAAAACCCAGGGTTAGAGCCAGGCCATGCAGTGGTGTTGTGGTGCAGCAATTTGTGAAGACAGAGTGGGGATCTTGTGTGTGCCAGCTCAAGAGCCAAGGAGGTGGTGAGCCAGCACTGTGCTGCAGGCTGGGGTGCTTGTGGCCAGGTTTCCTGGATGCTTGCTCACCTTGCAGCCATTGCAGGCTCCAGGCTTTCTATGCACACTGTGGTGACAAAATGCAGATGAACAGCAATGTGTGCCAGATGCAGTCAGTGAAGACATAAGCAGGGACCATGTCTGACTGAACAGGCTGGGGTTGCTCTCCACAGCCACATCATCTTTGGAGATTAGGAAGAAATCAAAGCTGCAGCCAGGCAAGTGGTAATTGATGGATGGGAAGTGGTTTATTTGGCTTTTTCTTGTCAACTGTTTGATTCCCCACCAAACTTCTTCAGTGACCAAAAGCTAGAGCTGATCAAGCTCTGAGACACCAGGTGTCCTGGAGATCTCCATATCTCTCAGGTGTTCTGGCTAGTTGGGCTGCAATAGTGCATGGCTGATGTTTTCACATCACAAGGTTTGTATTTTGTTTTACAAAACCAGTAAGGAGTGATTTCAATCTGGGTAATGCTGTCTCTCTTTGATTCATCCTAATCCTCTCCTGGTGTGCTGGGCTTTCATGCGGGTTGGATCAGGTCTCACAAGAGCTGTTCATCCTGACTGCTCTTTGTGAAGTTCAAACTACAGCAAGTGTATTGTTTCTTTCTAAAATTGTTTGTCCAAGATGCCTTTGCTGTGGTCCTTTAGTATCTCTCTTTCTTTTTACTATGGCATTTGCTCTTCAGGTTTGTTCAAAAGCCACCTTGCCCAGTTTGCTGGGTCATTGTTGAATAAGAAAATGCTCACTGTTATTCAACAATTCTTTGATCTAGTTTGCCCTTCTCTGTGAAAAGCTTTGCAGTGCCTGTGCCTCAGGTGGGTTTCTAGGACTCAAATTTGGATGAAGACATGGAGAGGGAGGAAAAGGGAATTGAGTGATATAAGCTCTAGGCTTTCCCAGCTTGATTAAGCATCTCTGATAGAGTGAATCCAAAATACTCTTCTGTCTGGATGTTCTTAATGGCTCATGTGTTACTTTCAGGTATGAAGGCAGGACAGTTACCTGTGTTTTTTCAATGTCTCAGACTGTGCCTTAGGCTTTGCAATTGTTCACATGTGCAGTTTGGGGTGGGAGTGGAAAATGCATGCATTTGGGGGGTTTTTTTGTTTGTTTGGTGTGGTTCGGTTTTTGGTTTGGGTTTTGGGGTTTTTTGTTTGTTGTTTTTTTTTTTACTTATTCCTCAGCTTAGTTCTGGTGATGAGCAATTCTATACCTGATAGACAGAATCATGGTACAGTCAAAATCTCATATTGTAGTCAGAATGGGCTGTGGCAGTACTTCACCTGTTCTCCTCCCTAAGTAAATGTCCTCTCCTGAACTCATGTCAGGCAGTGCCAGTGTGAGGCAGCGGCTTCTTCTGAGTGACCTTCAGTGTGAGCAGTGAGTCTCTTCCTGGAATTCTTAAGTTACAAGGAATAGCCTCAGCTATTTCATGAGCTTTTTAATTATATCTGTAAGGGAGCAAATTCACCTGATATGTGGCGTGGAGGGTGCTGCTGCTGAGCCTCACCTTTGCTGCTTCATTGCTCCTGATTTAGGTAACACCTTGTTGAGAAATGAGTGAAAACTGAAGCAGCAAGGGAATCGCTTTGAGAAGCTGGCTTGGTCTTCTGGCCATGACAGAGCAGCCCAACTGTCCTGACTTTGGTCTGCAATTGTAAAACAAAGCTAATGTTCCTCGCAGCTTGTTTATTTATTTCAAATCCATAATACCAGCACACACAGGGCATAACACGTGACTTCTCTGGAACAGCAAGTCTCTTGCAAGGCATTTATTTTAGGCTTCTGTTGAACACATAAATAAACTAGCAAAAGAAAGAAATTACAATTACAACAATGATGAGGTCAATCTTAGAGAGAAAATTGTCTTGAGAGCACCCACTTAAGTGAAACTGTCACTTGTGACAACTGTGTACATTCATGGACACAGCAGGATGCAATCGATTAATGGCTCCTTTGGCTCAATGGGAGGCGGAGAGGCAGCTGTCTCTGATTTTTAGCCTTCTTGCACACCAATGCTTTCCGCTGGGGAGTGGTAAACAAGGATATTCTGACCATCCCGTAGTTTCAAGGTGACATCCTGAAGGCACCAGCTGACACAAAACAAAGGAGATTTTTAACTTCTATCAATCACTTTTAAATACAGTAGTAAAGTCCGTGTAGAAATAGCTTGCACAGAGAAACAAATCATTCCACACTTCTATTGCTTTTAAAAATTCTCTCAAGTGTTTTAAAACTTGGTTTGCAAGTGCCAGCTTCTGAAAGCTGTTCTCCCTAATAGCATAGCACAGCCCAGATTCAAAGGTCTGGGATACCTGTTTCCTATTTGCTGCAACTCAAATAAAATCCTGCCAGCTCTTCTTAGATAGGATATTCCTCCCCCAACCCATTGCCTTTTTTGACTCTCCATCCTGCGGATGCATTCCTTACTCCACTCCTCTCCGGCCTTAGAGCCAGACGGTGTTGCTAAGGAATTATCCTGGCTTGGAGGAGTTTGAACACTGTGTGATCACTCAGTGTGACTGCTGAAACCCTGACATGGTACAACAGTGGTTACTCAAAGAAGGAAAGCTGCATTTGTTGGAGACTGAGGGGGAGTCTTTTCCTTCCTCTAAGCTTTGCTCCAAACCCATTTCTGAGAGACTGCTCATGCTGCTTTTCCAGCTGGAAAGGACTATTATTTTGGGGTACTAAAACAGGATTTTTACAAAAGCTCCTGGTGCTCGCCCAGCTCTGCTTTTGCTGGAGTCAGTGCTGAGTACACACAATTAGGTAATTAGGCTTCCGCACCTCTGTGCAATGGGTCTGCAGCAGGGCTCTTTGCTCCCTCTGCTTCTACTCCCAACCCAGGACAAGCAACTGCCTCCTTTATAACCGGGAGTGAAGGAGGAACTGCTCCCTCCCCACAGTATGGCCTGGGGTCTCAGCCCTTCTCTCCGTTCACTTTGGGGCAAGCAAGTGTCATTTTGCATGACTGGTGCCTTGGTTGCCCTCGCCTCTGGACACTCTCCCCACCCCTGCACTGCCTGCGCTTGAGTGAATGCCTCTTCCTCCAGCTCCGAATGAGCTCACAGACTCCAAATTTCCCTTTTTTCAGTTGCCTGCTCTTTTATAAACAAATAAACCCCTATGGACAGACTGCACACTCAGAGTCAGATGCATTTCTGTGGCTTAGGAGCCTAAACTACTCTTGCACAGAGCACTCAACTCCCAGTGTCATGTACCTCTGTCCGTATGGGTCTGACTGCCTCCCCAGTCACCACTGGAAAAGCACACATGCATAATCTGTGAAATTCCACTAGGATAGCCTGTTTACATGTTTGTTACTCCCAGCCATTTTACTGTTAGTTCCTCAGCTGGGTGCAAGGACATCAAGTCCTGCCTTAGCCCCACATGAAGCTGTACACAGGACCCTGCACACAGATGGAGTTGGTTGAGTCTGATAGATTCATCTGCCATAAATCCTCTTACAAGAAGATGCCTTTTTTTTTTATCTTAAGCGTATAGAAATACATGGAGAGCTTTAAAAACTTTTAAAAACCCTTTAAAACAAAACTCTGAGGGATATATACGCACTAACGTAGTTCAACACCTTGCTGTTTCTGGGATAACCTTCAGTTATCCTCACAGTAACTGCGAACATGGAATGGCAGGGAGCTGTTATTTCCTTAGTCTGTGAGGGGCTAAGGAGGAGTGAGGAGATCAGAGCTGAGGCACCAGGGAAGTGATGTGTGCAAGAAAGGTGGCTGAGGACCTCCAGGGTTATCTCTGGTCACTAGGGAGGAGGCCAGGCCTGGTACAGAGTTTTTCAAGTCCCAGTCTAGTGCCTTCCTCACATCATTTTACACCTTACTTCCTGTACTTACTCAGAAGAGAAACCCTGTAAGTCATGCTCATCTAATTATGAAAATAAAACATTACCATATGGCTGGTGGCAGCTAAGTAAGAGTTTTGTAGCTTTTGGTTTCTAAATAGAGCTAACAGAAGTACCTAACAAGAGCTTTGCATCTAATAAAACAGTCTTTTGCAATGAAAGATGGACTTTGAATTCACATAGCAATTCTTTGCCCAGTTCTAGAAACCAGTTTACCCTTGACAAAGGAGATTTTCAGGCTTCAGTATTACAAAAATGTAAAGTCACTTCTATATGATGTGGAATCAAAGCATCCTTTAACTATAATATATCTGTTCTAGCATTTTTTTTTAACCATGAGGACCATATTTATGAAATGAAAAAAAATAAATCCTGAATTTTCAGCTCGCCTTGCATGGCTCTGATGTAATGTGCGATTTGCTTACTGCAATCCATACCAGACCAGAGTTAGGACTGCTGTTCAACAGCCTCTGTACCTCTGTGGGGAGCAGGGGTGGGAGGGGACAACGTGTTACCTTGGCTCATAGTATTTGTATGTGTACCAAGCTACAGTTTGCAGAACACACTTAACACAAATGAATGGCTCGTGTTGCTCCTCTATTGGCACTCAGAGAGATGAATTCAATATATTTCTCAACTAATTTACATTTTAGTCATAATGATGTTAATGACCTTTCACAAGACCTTCAGACAGGAGTTTCCACTTGCTTTGTGTGCATGATCTCAGCAACACGGATGACTAAAGCAAATATCCTGCTCTACTCTTCTCTCCTACCACTTCTTTCCCTGCATCCAGACATTTCTTCTGGTATATCCCCCAGTACGCACCACTGACGGGAGTGGTCCATCTCCGAGTTAATGTAGAGGTATCCCGCTGATTTTGTTCCAGATACTGGTAGCTTTATCTGCAAATGTAAAAGCGTGTTAAAGATTCAGCAAAGCAAAAAGGACATTTACTCCTTCTCCAGTTAAAGATGTAACACCTCTTTACCCTAAACTCTAAGTATGTTTTTCACAGTATTTCGGAGTTTGACCAAGCGATTCTAACAGCTAACATGTGTGGCTACACAAGTTCTGCCATGCATTAATCTCTCTCTGCTGAAAGAATGTGCTGTGTTACAGCTGCAACCCCCAGGGAAAACCACTCGCTCTCTGAAATATTTATGAGCAAACACCTTTCCTTACCAGAATGCATGGTCATCCAGAGGTGACCTGCACTGTTAGGGCTTCTCATAACCATAACAAGCCAGTAGGTTGAGATCCTCTACAGATCAGTCCCTCAACACACACTGAGGAAATAAGACTTTCAGTGATTTTTTTTTTTTTTTCTTTTCAGTGTCACAAATTCTATCACTCAGTTATTGACAGACAAAGCTGGAGCTGCAGCAGTGACCATGGTGGCCAATTGCACTTGGCCTGATGTCTGAAAAAAAGAAATATGTTTCAGGTGTAGCATTTGCTGGTGGTGTTGCAATCACAAAGAGAAAATGCCAGGTGTTCTCCAACAGACCCAGGAGATAGGAATGTTGTGGAGTCACTAAATTGACCTATGTTATAATGATGATCAACCAGTTTATTTTATGAGAACATGAATGCTTAGAAGCATGAAAAAGCAGAGAAGAAAGTTGGTGATTTGTGTCTTGGGTGAGGTCGGTAGAAGGCAGGGTTTGACTTCACCCTGAGTCACCCAAGTGACCAGCATTCTTAAACAGTGACATAGGAAAACACCAGTGGGAAAGGTTATCTTCCTTTCAGTCAGCATAAGAGATTGTGTGGGGGTTTTGCACATTTGTTTCCTTAGACATGTTTCTTGGTAGAATCTATAAAACCTGGGAAATGTTTTGGCACAGGGTATCATGTGAGTGTAGCCTAGCTGGAGTGAAATGTAAAGAAATTTTATATGAGTTGGTTAAAGGCTGGGGTTTTATCTTGTCCTGATAGTCCCTCTCCTTCATGTACCCATTCCTTAATGCCCTTGCTTGGTCCCTAAAATTCAGAACTACTCAACAGGAAGAATAAAATTATTCCAACATGACAAGTTACCCCAGTGAAGGACCTGGAGAGTCGATAGGGACATTTTGTGTCACCAGCAAAACAAGGGAAGGGCAACTAGCCCTGGATTAAGGGGTAAAAACACTGATGGAAAGTCCTCTTCAGGCAAACACGCTGAATGGAGGTGGACTTGTGTTTGCGAGGTTTGCTTGGGCCCAGCTCTGGGCTGACACAAGGCAGCCTTGTGCAATACTTCATCATGCAGTGCAGCATTTTCCAGTCACTATGTAACCCCCACGCTCAGTCTCAGGCTGGGCAGCAGTTCTCCATGACACAAACTTACAGGTGCTTTTAAAAACCACACCACCTGCGCTGTACCACAGCATAGCCTGTAAGTGGCTATAAAACTTCACTCTGAACAAAGCTTTAAAAACTAGCATGGGACATATCTGGGGGGGGAAAGGAAGACAGGTGCTATTTTAAAGCTGGATCTCATATAATTTTGTGGCTTACAGTTGCAGGAGGGCTACCAACTGGCTTGAGAGGTCCCTTGGCATTCTGTGATGTGCCCATATAGCACAACAGGAAGATGCTGCTATTGCTGTTTCTAGTCTAGTAGATTTATACTCTGGAAATCCATTCGTCCTCCAAATCAACTGGTATCCTATTCTACTGCCTTTCAGTGTCCTCAAATGACTTGTGAGCTGCTGATCAGGTCACAAAATCCCCTGGCTGATCTCTTGTCACCTGACATCTTGGGAAGCCACCCTGTGACACCACCTCCCCAGCATTACCTGTGCTCTTTCTGTGTCTACACGATTACTCCCATCTGTCAGTCGGATGTTGTGAACCTTAAGAGGGGGGGCACCCAGGGCTTCCAGGGCATCCGGATTGCTGTTCAGTTGCTCCAAAGCTTGCTGGTAATACTGGGTCCTGGCAAAACTTTCTAGATGAGAGGAACAGGGTAGTGAGGAGACTGTTCACTTAAAATCAAAACATATGCTAAAAAAAAAAAAAATTTCTCGAGATTACCACACCCTTCCTGAAGCACAGTCCAAAACTATTAATTAGGAGAAATTTGGCAAAAGGAGGAAACACACCCTGTCATCAAATGTTATTCAACTCATTTAAGTGAAAAGGGCTCTGAACATAGACTGTTCCATACTGATATACAGTTCATCTTATGACTGTCTCTCCTCACTTTTCATGCATTCATAGGTCATCTAAAAGGAAGAAAAATAAGAAAAAAAGGCACAAGGATGAATATCTGAAATGTTCTAATGGTAATTCAAGTTCGCAGGTTTTTTTATAGGAGGTACATAAAATACTTCAGTAATGGAGAATATTTTACAGACATTGACATAAGACAGGAACAGCTGCTGCTGTGGAACTATTGCTGTGGTCTTGACACAGCTTTCCAAGTGGCAGCCACAAAGCTGCAACTCTACTGACAGATGCATTAAAAGGGACAGATGCATTAAAAGGGAGGCACAAGGAAGCACCATTAGAGTTACTGGTCAAGCAGCCACAATAGCACAGGAGATGGATGCTGCAGTGTTGGCATACGGAGGACAATTGAGGTAAACTGCTATTTATCAATGTCTGGTTGCTATGTGTAGCTGTGCCGTGGGTGCCAATGGACAGTGCAGAGTTGAGAGGCTGGAAATTTGCTGACTCTCCTTATGGTGGCAGGTATTTGCTCATTAACAGTTTAAAGGCTTGCTTGCTGGGATTTCTAGATGTACTCATGCCAGCGTAACTTCACTCTCTTGACATCAAGAAGGGCAGAATTAAGCCAAAAGTGTGCATTTGCAAAAATCCTACTCTGGCAACTTTGCCCTCACATTTCAGAGAGTTTAGAACAAGGTGTAAGGTTTGTTTCCTAGTCTCTTGCCTGTCAGTATTAATCTTGGAGCATGAGGCAGAAGGATGCTGCCCCCTCTTCCTAATTAGAGGCATCCTCTGTGAGCAGGCAGCATCCAGTTGGCATAGAAACAGCTTTGCTAGGCTGCAGCCTGAGCTGGATCTCCCCCAGCCCCCCTGGACCATCTTAAGGAGCTCCAGCAGGCCAGCCATTTAGTGCCTACAGATTATGGCAAACAGCCACCCAGACCACGTTAAAAATGTGTTGGTGTCCATCCTGCAGGTTGGAGGGGAAATGGGTTCTAGTTTCCTGGTGCTCCTTCTCAGCTGTTCCTTGTTAGCATCTCATACATTAAACATAAAATACCCAACTAATCCATTTGTTCACACATCTCTTGGCAGAAAAGCTGAAAGGATGCTGGAGTTTGCTGAGCAGATCGGTTCTGTGAGAAGGGTGTGGAGGTGACAAGAGTGAGTAGAAATAGGATTACCTGAGTGTTTGCACAGAGACCACGTGCATGCAAACTTCTCTTCAGTCCAAAGAAAGGGAAGCAACCCTCTCCCGCTGCCTGCCACCAAGTTACCAGACAGCTACTCAGTGGCCACTGATATTACAACAGAGGCAGAAGTAGCCATCGTGTTGCACCACTTGACTGCACAGCTAAGTGATGCAGGAACAAGCCCACTTTACTTGCTGTATAGCACAGGGGGTGACTTCCTCACCAGATTTCTAGATAACAATGCTGAAGTTGAAAATTAAAAAATGTTAATGTCCTTGTTAAAGCCAGAATCAGTATTTTAAAGCAAAGGATCATATTTCTGTCATGTACTCCAGAGCTTGAGGGCATGAGCTGCCTAAAATTAAATCCTGCTTTCCAGCCTTGTCTGATTTATTATTAATATGTGTAAAATGAAGGGGAGGTTTCAGAGCTTATCTGAAGGCTTGAGAAACAGGCTCAGCTATACTTTTCTGGCAGCATCCTCTGATATAAAGGTAGGTGAAAAGCAATAGCCTTTGATAGCAACAACAAGGGAGAGGCATAGGGCCAAGAGGCCTATAGCACCCCCTGAAAGAGAGGCAAAGCCTATTTCTGTTCTGATGCTAAATATCTAGAAGCTGTTTTAGAGAAAGGCAACATCTATCACTTGGACTAGTAATTTGGATTCTTGGCCAGAGATGTGTAGCAACTAGAGATGTCTGTAAACAGCAACGTCATCTGTCTAGTTTTTCTCTCCTTGTCCTGGTCTTCTCAGTGCTGATGCTCTTATCTATCCCTCATTCAGGAGAAACTAATGACATTTTAGCACTTCACAGGTCCATTGTATTTAGGGGCCAGCACCACATAGAGATTTACAGATAAAACTGCTAGACACTAATACCTTCTAGCAGATGGTCCTTTTTTACTGCCCGGTTATAAAATCTCAATGAAGAAATGAAACCTGTATTACTGCCTAAGCTTTCACTTCACCCTCAGGAAACCCCCAAAACCCAGACTTTCTTCTGACCACAACAGCTTGCTTCCTATGCAATATTCGCCTCTGGAAATGCATGCAGCAGTGCTTGGGAGAGCAAAAGCTGTGGGGATGAACAAAGCAGAGCCCACAGAGGCAGAACCCAGCAGCTCACCCACACTTCCCTTAACTTCATCTGCTTTTCACATCTTGCATGCTGCTATTTTCCCCGCTACACAAAAGCCAATGAAAGGGGCAGAGGAGAAATAAGGTTGCTAACAGCAGCAAGGCTTACTTTGCATAAGAGTATACATCACGATGCATCCCCCGCCACTGAACAGTCCCATGAAAACAGCCATTTGTTGCAGTTTTTTCAGAGAAGCTGGCATTTTTCCTCCCTGAAAAGAAAAAGGGAAGACGTTTGTTGTAAAAGAAGAAAGCCAAAGGGTTACTTCTCCCCCTCCTCCTTTTTCCTAAAAGCCCTTTCCAACCAGGTCTGAATGAAAGTGCAGTGCACAGGCATTGGGCTCTTGCTTGCTGGGGCCCCACCATTGGCCCAGAAGGAAGGGTAGTGAGAACAGAGCAAACTGGGAACCCAGCTGGGTTGAATGTTTTTATTCAACTTCTTTTAGTGATGCCACCACTTCACTAATTGCTGAGAAGAAAATTACCTCCCTGGTGTGGCTGTGGGCCAGTGTGGTGGTATTGTTGTGGGGGCTGCCGGTGCCCGTGTGCTCATTCGCACACTGTGAGCATTCAGGCTCCAGGGGCCAGATCTCTCTCTCGAGTAAACTCCTCTAAAGTAAACATGCTTGCAGCAGGGATGGATTTGGCCCAGAGTCTTAAGGGACAGAGCCAAGCCAGCACTGTGCCAGCAAAGATAATGGAGCCAGGGTGTGCATATTCTGTTGTGTCATTTTTTTTTCCCAAGCCATGGATAAACAGGAAGGCTCTTACAAGCTATTTTTCTTCCTTCCTGCACCCCCTAGCCCAAACTTGCCCTTCAAATTTGGGGATCGCTAGTAGTGGTAGAAATGCAGAGAGGTACATGGGTGCTATGTCTATTTTATGTCCCAAAATGCCCAAATTGTGCCATTGGTACAGTCCTCTTCCTCCTGATTTGTTTCTCTGATGAGTTTTCTTCATTGCTTCCCCTGAGGAACTCGAGGGGCATGAGAAGTTGCAACAGAGCAAATACAAGTGTGCTTCTACAGGGAAACAGAGGTAGCCATTTCACAAGGATAGTAAGAGCTTTCTGCTTGCATGCTTGCATTTGCAACTTAAATCCCTGATTAATAACCAAGTTTCTTGTAAGATTCATCTGGCCAAGAGGAGGATCTGACACTAACACCACATAACAGGGATGGGAAAAAAAAAACGTAAATCTGTAGGGCGGATCAGATATAACAGGTTGTGACCTGTAGCATTTGTTTTTGCCCCTTCCAAAGTTGTGGCCAGGCAAAATCTGCTTTCTGTGATGAAATTCAGGGTAATTGAATGCAAATGTCTGGGGGTGGGGGTGCTGCTGGCAGTCTGCTGAGTAAGAGTGGGAAGACATGGAGCTCTTGCACCAGTGAGGAGGTTCTGACTGAGGCTCAGGGGACTTGACTAGTAAACAACGGAAATCAGAGGCTCTGTAACTCGCTGTCAGTGGGTTTGAGGTTTGTTAGGTCTCACGCTCTGCTTGCACCCAAACAAGGGAGATGGATGGAAAGTAGGAAGAGCTTTGTGCTGGTCAGTCACATGCTCACACAGAATCTCATCACCACCACTGTCATGCTGAGACAGTGACATTTGGCGAGGGAGTTTCGCTGCTGAGAAATGGTGATCCCATTAAGCACTGATGCCCCTGATGTGCTGTCCCTGCTTGCAGATGTTGTCTGTTGCTGGTCCTGGTGAGGCAGACATGTGGAGGGCTGAGGTGTGCCCAAGATCCTCTTTACGGTATGTAGCCAGTTGTAGTTGGCTTCCAGCCAAACCCCACTGACTACAGCTGAAAAACCTCCCAGAAGAAAGAGGAAAAAAAAACGGAATAGCAAAAACTATATAAAATATATATATTTTACATATATCACAGATATACAATTAAGGTACTACAATAATACAATTGTAATACAATACAGGAACCCCAAACTGCTCCCAAAACGGAAAGAGGGGAAGGGAAAAGGGGAAAAAAAGGGATAAAAAGGGACAAAACCAATACAGGTATGCACAACCGAAAAACCCAGTAACCAACAAAATCATGGCTAGGCTTCGCGAACGAAGATTTGGGAAGGGCTCTACCCACTATTCTTGCAAGCGCGTTGGTGGCTAAAAAGGCCAATACGAGAAAGGCAAGTCCGGTTGCAAAAGACACAGCAGAAAGACTCCTTAGATGGTATATTCTGCAAGGCTCGATTCTTTCTGCGTTGTCTTTTCTCCTCAAGAGTGATCCTGCGTGCTTTCTCAAAAGCATCAGCAGCGTTATAAATGGACTGTCTCCAGGCCTCCCGGTTAGAGGCCAGAGTAGACCAGTTATGGTGATCAATATGCCCAAGGCTGAGTTGTTGCTTCAGGGAGTCCTTGTATCTTTTCTTCGGAGCTCCTCTCTTGCGGCAGCCGGAGGCAAGTTCACCATAAAGCAGGATCTTAGGGAGGCGGTGGTCCTTCATCCTGGAGACGTGCCCTGCCCAGCGCAGTTGCGTTCTCAGTAGCATGGCTTCAATACTTGTGATTGCTGCCTGTTCAAGAACAGATGTATTGGTCACATAATCTGACCAGTGGATGTTTAGGATTGTACGGAGGCAGCGTTGATGGAAGCGTTCTAGGAGACGCAGGTGGTGGCAGTAGATGACCCATGTTTCGGAACCATATAAAAGAGCAGACAGCACTATGGCTCTGTAGACACTGATCTTGGTACCTTTCTTCAAGTGTTTATTACGCCATACTCTTTTATGGAGTTTTCCAAAAGCACTATATGCCTTCGCTAACCTATTGTCTATCTCCCCGACAATCTTACCATCTGAGGAGATGAGGCTGCCTAAGTAATTAAACTGTTGGACTGATTTGAGTTCTGATTGGCCGATGGTGATGTGGGGATGATGGAGGACTTCCTGAGGTGCAGGTTGATGGAGAACTTCTGTCTTCTTTAAGCTGACTTCCAGCCCAAAGAGCTCAGCAGCATCTGCAAAGCAGGATGTTAAACGCTGCAGGGCTGCTTCTGTGTGAGCGACAAGGGCGGCGTCATCAGCATAAAGCAGCTCCCGGACAAGATGGTTCAGGGTCTTAGTGTGGGCCTTCAGTCGCCTTAGGTTGAATAGGCTTCCATCAGTACGATATCGAATGTAGATACCGTCCTGATCATCGAGGTCTGCCGTGGCCCTTTGGAGCATCATACTGAAAAAGATTGTGAATAAGGTAGGAGCGAGAACGCAGCCTTGTTTCACGCCGTTCTTTATTAGAAAGGGCTCAGAAAGTGTGTTGCCATATCTGACTTGGCCATGCTGATCTTCATGAAGTGAGGTGATCATTTTAAGGAACTTGGGGGGACAACCTAAACGTTCCAAAATCTGCCAAAGACCTTTTCTGCTCACAGTATCGAAAGCCTTGGTGAGGTCGACAAAGGTTACAAAGAGACCTTTGTTCTGTTCCCTACACTTCTCTTGCAGTTGTCTGAGAACAAATATCATGTCTGTGGTGCTCCTGTTGGCTCTGAAGCCACACTGAGATTCAGGTAGAATTTCTTCTGCTATAGCGGGAATTAGTCTGTTCAGGAGTATTCTTGCCAAGATTTTGCCAGCAATGGAGAGCAGAGTAATACCACGGTAATTTGATTTTAAGAACAAGCAAAATCTCACCACTTCCCTTGAGAAAAGCAAGACAGCCAGACCCAGCCCAGCACTCTCCCCTCACACATGATAGACAACAGCAGTCGCTGCAGGTCTCAGCTCCAGATAAGCAAGGCCGACACAGAGATCTACCGTTCCCAAACCTTGCTGGAAGAAGAGAGAGAGGTCTCTCTGACCAGCTTATTTATACCTCAGGTTACGTAAAGGAATAGCATGGAATACTTCCTTGGTCACTTCCCTAGTTCCTTCTTGGTTATAAGCTGGTCTCCAGGAAGGCCTAGACTGAAACTATCACATGGTAACAGGGAGAACATCTCCATTGCTTGCTTTAGGTCACAGTGGGAAGCCCACGGGCCGGATCACCCCATCCCCTGGCTTGACCTTGATGCTCTCTTCTCACTTGTTTCTCAGTTGTTTTCCCAAGCCAGTCCTATGACAGCACATTGTGGGAAGAGGTTCAGAGCTCGGTGTTTAACAAGCCTCTCAAGACTTTGCAAACCTTCTCGTTGATCCCACAATTCCCTGTCAACTTCCAAAACCAAGGACAGAAGTGCCCTTGGAGCCCAGTGCATCCCTCACAGGAGGGCTGCTGCTTCCCTTCCCTGCCATCCTGGTCCCTGGTGGAATGGATGCTTGCATATTACATCTTTTGGCACACAGCTGCTGATGACTTCTGAATGGTGACAGTGGAGATACTAATGGTGTCAGCTTGTTGAAGACCAAAATGTAGTAAGGAGCTGTTGTATCCAAGGACTCATCACTAGGATTTCTGGCCTATGGCCAACTGTGTTTGCTGCTCCAATCTGCTGCTCTGCTGAAGTGCCATGGAGGTGGCTCGCCAGGGAAGGGAAGCAGAGACATGCCCAGAGGCATGCTTCCTTTCCTGAGCATTTCTGAAAATTGCTTACAGCTTGCAAAGTGTAGAGGCTCTCAAAGGGAAGGACCAAACCCCCTCCACTTCATTTGCCACAAAGGCAGTAACTGTAAGACAATGCATTTGGAAGAATCTTACAGATATAGGGGCAATTGCCTCCTAAGGAGGGAAGTTCATGTTGCTATCTGTAGTGGAGATCTCCCCTCAGAAACTGTTATACCACTAAAAAAGTATGCAAGTCAATTGGTGGAAAAACAGATTTCTTCACAGCCAGTAATTAAAAAAGCACAGTTTCCAAGCTATGCTGTTCTGCGGACATCTTTTCCTCCACCTCATATGCAGTGGCAAGAAAGATTAAGTGGAGATTAGCACACACAAAAACCAAGAGAAAAGACACTAAATCATTATAAGTAGTGTTCTCAAAAAATAACTAGTAAAGAGCAGAGCATCGAAGTAACAGTAATGTTCGCTTTGTGTCTTGAAAATAGCAAGATATGGAGGAGAAGGTAGTATTCAGGATTGACTTTGAAGCTGAGTGGGACTCAGGCAGTTAACAAGACAACAAACCCAGAGAGGTAGAAGACTCCCAGGGTCACATGTGAAACGGCGGGTTACTGCAACAATAAAGTCTGTTTCTAATTAGACTTTGTTTTCTCCACAGAGGATCTTCTAAAAATAGGCAGGTGTTAAGAGAGTC